TCTCCCACTGAGTTGTGGGGGCCCAAATGAAAGGATGGGTATGGAAGCTTCTAGCAGAGTGCTTAGCAGGAGAAGGGCTCCATATGCAGCTATCCCTGCATTTTCCCCGGCCCCCCTCCATGGGGCTGGTTCCCCACAGCGGGAGCCGGTAGCACCTCCTTTTCCAGGCAGCCAGCTGCCAGATCCAGATGTTTTCCATTTGGGAGAGAACAGCCCACAGTTCACTCCAGTAGACCAGCTGCACCTGAAAAGCAGGGAGAATTTGGGGAGCCAGAGGCAGAGGGAGGAAACCCCGAGGCCAATCTCTGAAAACATGTATTCCCTGCGCTGGGCCATTGGGCAAAGAGGGACAGTGGGAGCTGGCTTGCAGTCAAAAGTCCAAATTATCAACTGTAGCCTGGTGTCTGTGTGCGTGGTGCGTATTTGTGTGTGTGTGTGTGTGTGTGTGTGTGTGTGTGTGTGTGGCGGGGAGAAGGGGAGGGGCTGTAGGAGAAACCAAGTTCCTCAGATCCTCTCAGAGACAGGAAAGGTAGCGTCGGTTCTGGGAAACAGGAAACCATCTCTCTGGCGAAAGGAAGAAAACATTTTTATCTATTTATGTGTTTGCCGATTCCTGTGGTGTAAACATTCCACTGTGGGACAGTTTCAAGCTGCACGTGTGAAATCACTGCATGTGGAATTGGGAAGAGGCACACGACCAGACACTGCCTCTTCCACGCATGTCCATCCTCGCAGAGCAGTGCACTTCCTGCTTCCTCAGAAACACTGTGCCTTCGCCGGAGAGGGGAGAGGGCTTCCTTCCGTTTCACTCTCCACCCTCCAGCCTCAGCTTTCGAGTGATTTCACAGGAAGGCTTCCCTGACCCACCAGCCGAGGCCAAATGTCTTCCTGGGCTGTGCTCTGAGCAAGGTGCTCCCCTCCCTCCCAGCGCCGAAGTCCACTGTGAGCTCCTTAAGGATGGTGCGGTTCATATTTCTCTCCCTCTCGTGAGAGCAGAGCTTGTTGGTGTATCAGCAGTGCCTGGCACAGTGCCTGGCATACGGTGGCTGTGCTCTAAATACCTGTTTAAAACTTGAAAGAATCCGAAGTCACTGCTCAGGGTCCTGACGGAGGAAGAGGAGCTTGCAGGGTGGAAGAGGGGCTGAGGGGAACTGCCTGGGCAAAGGCCCAGAAGTCTACGTCTGGGAAGCAGGTGCAGGAGAGAGAGGAAGGCGGGTTGTGTGGCTGGTGCTTGAGGGCACAGCGGAGCATTCTGCAGAGGAGGCTGGGGAGTGGGCTGGGCCAGGTGGGAAGGGGCCCTGTACTCCACGCCAAGGTGTGGAACGGGGATGTCCTCCTCACTGACTCCATCTTTCAACCAAGAAAGCCAAACCCGGAGAGGCAGGAATCAGAGGATTTAGGAGAAATCTGGGCCCGGGCAGGTGTAGCTCAGCCTTTCCCCTTTTCACACGCGGCGTTGGGGGGGTCCTCCTCACCTGGGGGTCATGGCTCCCCTTCTTCCTGTTCCATCCCAGCCAGGGGTTCTGGGTGGAGAGCCCCACCCTGCAGGTGCAGAAGGGATTCCTCAGCCAGAGAAGGAAAAGAAATGAGCCAGGACCAAACAGAAATCGGGCATCAAAAAGAACCATCCGAAATGCAGGCTAAGAGTCTGGGGCGGTTGAACGGGACCTTCGGAGTTTGAACCCCAGCTTCACTCCCTTGACTCTTGCTGTGGTGACCTTAGACAAGTTGCTTAACCTCTCTGATCCCGATGACTCCTCTGTAAATGGCACTCAAAATGGCGCTGAGTTCCTTGGTGTTGCTGTGAGTACTGAGTTAGTGACTTGGCATGAAGCACATAGCACAATGCCAGGCACATAGGAAGCACCCAATGGATATACGTTGTCTGTTATTGCTGCTAATACCATTATCACAGGGAGGCGGGAGGTGTGATAGTTCAGGGAAATGTAGATGATACGAGTCCACTTTATCTTGATCTTAGGATGGGCTGTAAGCACTAACCTGATCTTGCTTTAGTTACTCTATCTGGACACTGTCTCGTCTGGTCTTCCTCACTCTCACTTCTCCGTTGAGAGAAAAAGCCCAGAAGGCTGAGGGACTTGCGAGGGGTCAGTCAAAGACAATCTGGGGCCGCGCCCAGACCTCCGAGGACTTTCTTAGCCTCGCAGGATATCATTGGAATCCTCTCGGTCTTGAATGACTCCCCAATTTTAACTCAACCTCTAACTCAGGCTTCCTGGCTATAAAACCACAGGAGTTGGCAAGAGGTTAACTATTGCTAATCGCTTGACAAACAACCCATCTCAGTGCTAACGTGTGCTCCGGCACTAGGGGCCAGTGGGGGCGGGGCGCTCAGGAGCCCTCCGGGGTCTGGGCTCCTGCCACCTGTTGACTTGGTCGCCCCAGCGCCCTGACTTCTCCCTGGCTCTTGAGCAGCTAGCTGGCCACGAGGAAAGGGAGGACAAGGAAGGTTCGCTCTGACACCTCTGGGCCCAGAGGTCACAGACCGCGCATGCAGCTCCCTTCACGTTCTTTGGCAAGAACTCTCGGGGGGCCCCAGCTAGATGCAGGGGGGCTAGAACCCAGGGTCCAGCCGCACGCCCAGAGGGAAGGTGATCCTGCCCCGTGATCGCCGAGCCAGTCTCTGCCCCGCGGTTGGGCCACGTTGTGTGACCCCCACCGGCCAGCCCCTCTGGAGTGCAGAGGTGTGGAGTCCTGGGCCCTTGTCTCTGCAGCCGGTCCCCTGCCTCTGGCTGGTCCCCTCCCTCCTTCCGGGCTCGAGGTGCCCGCTCCCTCCCGCCCCAGAAGAGAGCCGTGCGTGTGCCCTGCCAAGCCTCCTCCGAGGCTGGGTGGTGGGTGAGATAATGATCTTATCATGCTTACTGCCTCTTGGAAGGCAGGTGCTGGAGAAAGGCCAAGCCCGCTTTGGTTCTCCTCCCTGTTCCCTCCACACTCCTTCCCCAGATAAATTTAGCCAGCCCTCGCTTCGAGAGGCGGTGCCCAGGATGCCGGCTTTCTGCTCTCCCAGGCGATGCATGAGCGTTTTTCACGGCTGCAGCCTGTGGCCAGGAATGCGGACCTCAGGACAGGATTCGGTCCAGGCCTCCGCCTTGTCCCAGACCTCAGAGGCTTGCCCTCCCACCCCTGCCCAGGGCCATGGGCTTCCGTTGCCACATCTCAGATAGTGGTGACTCTTCCCCACACGTGACCTTCATCCAGGCCTGGATTCTCCAGCGGTGGGCGATAGGGCACAGAGCGCAGAAGGACTCTGAGGTCTGGCACCAGGGCTGCCCCTGGGCATCAGAGGCAGGACGGTCCAGGTTAAAAGCAGGGCCTTTGCCCAGCCAGTGTGGCTCAGTGGTTGCATGTTGGCCTATGAACCAGGAGGTCACAGTTTGATTCCTCAACAGGGTACATGCCCAGGTTGCAGGCTGTCATCATTGATGTTGCTTTCTTTCTCTCCCTTCCTCTCTGAAATCAATAAAAAATAAAAGAGCAGGGCCTTTGGAGCTGTCAGTGTTGCCCCTCACCAGCCTTCTCATCTATAAATTGGGGCACCCGTGTCTGCTCCCTGACATTGAGGAGGAGATGCTCGTAGGTTTGCATCTTGTTGGTGCTCTGTCCGCGGTGGGTGTGGCGGTGGTGATGGTCCATCCTCAGCCTCAGGCCAACCTGAGAGCCCGTGAGGGCTTCCCACAGTCCTCTGCCCAGGCCTGATGCTGCTTTTGCAAACTTCCTTAAGATCTCCTGCGAGGCCTCCTGGGAGAGTCGTGTTCTCGGGCCTCCTCGTCTTTCTAGAAGCGACTTCCTTCCTGGGGTCCATCCCCTTCTCCTGCTGGAGCAACTTGAATTCAGACCATGAAGCCTTGGTCTGTGACCAAGCCAGTGTGGCTCAGTGGTTGCATGTTGGCCACCACGCCCAGCCCCTAACGGATCCTGTTCACGAGATGGTCTACACCCATGGTCGATAAACTGCGGCTCAAGAGCCACCTGCAGCTCTTTGGCCCCTTGAGTGTGGCTCTTCCACAAAATACCATGGCCAGGGCAAGTCTATGTTGAAGAAGTGGTGTTAGAAGTTTAAGTTTAAAAAATTTTGCTCTCAAAATTTGCAGAGGAAGGGAGAGAAAGAAAGAAACATCAATGATGACAGCCTGCAACCTGGGCATGTACCCTGATGAGGAATCAAACCGTGACCTCCTGGATCATAGGCCAATACGCAACCATTGAGCCACACTGGCTGGGCAAAGGCCCTGCTCTTAAGCTGAACCGTCCTGCCTCTGATGCCCGGTGGGCGGCCCTGGTGCCAGACCTCAGAGTCCTTCAGGAAAACTGCAGCTCGTGAGCCACATGCGGCTCTTTGGCCCCTTGAGTGTGGCTCTTCCACAAAATACCATGGCCAGGGCGAGTCTATGTTGAAGAAGTGGCGTCCGAAGAAGTTTAAGTTTAAAAAATTTGGCTCTCAAAAGAAATGTCAATCGTCGTCCTGTTGATATTTGGCTCTGTTGACTAATGAGGTTGCCGACCACGGGCCTAGCCCCTCTCCTCCAAGCCTTTGCGTCTTAGGATTGGGGAGTTGCTATGCAGCAGAGCCAGGCCTGGAACCCAGGCTGGCAGAGAAACCTGCGGAGTGGGGAGCAGGCCGGGGCCCAGGCCACCCAAGCAGGTAGAACCGAGGCAGCGTGGAGTCCTGTCTCAGACCTTCACGCACATCAGAATTATGGAGGGACATTATTTAAAAGGAAGAGTCCTGAGCCCCACCCACAGGGATGCTTATTCCATGGGGTCAGGGTGGGGCCGGGGGAGCTGTCTTTGTAACCAGCCCCCCGAGGTGCTGTCTGTGAAGGGGGTTGGCCAACAGCCCAGGCTGGACCGTGGCAGGTGTCCCACCAAACCACCTGTACGGGCTGCGCAGGAAGGGACGGTCGTAGGCTCCAGAGGACCCCGTTCATAGGTTCAGGCCGGAGCCCGCAGTGGGACCCACCTTCGCCTCTGACCTCCAGGTTTGCCAAGTACTACAAGCTGGAGAATGGCAGCGAGTACCGCACGCTCCTGAAGGCCTTTGGCATCCGCTTCGACGTGCTGGTGTACGGGAACGTGAGTCCTCAGGCTGGGCGGGAGGGTGGGTGGACGGGGGAAGGAAATTCAGACCAACCTGGGCCTGGAGAAGGCTCCTGGGCAGGGGTGAGGGGCAGGGTCTTGCTGCTGATCAGCTCTGAGACCCTCAACTCCCCATCTCCATACCTGCACCATGAAGGGGTGGGGCCTGCTGCTCCCAGGTCTCTCTGGCTCCACCCCTGCCCCGCTGGACTCCGCCCACTCGCCTTGGTCTTTGTGCATACAGGCGGGCAAGTTCAACATCATCCCCACCATCATCAGCTCCGTGGCCGCCTTCACCTCTGTGGGAGTGGTGAGTTCATCCCCGCAGGCTCTCACTGGTGGCCAGTCAGGGTGAGGCGCCTGCTGGCAGGCGTGGGCAGGGAACTGAACCCAGGTAAGCCCTGCTTCAGCCTCTGGCCAGGTGCTTTAGTCTCCGGCACCACCGCCCTGCTCTGCCGGGCCATGCTTGAACCCCTGCAGCCATGAAAGCTCCCTGCCTCCTCAGCAGCCTCCCATCTGCAGGAGGCTGGCCTGGCACAAGAAGGTTCCTGGGGGGCGGAGACTCAGACACAGCCCCACCCCCAGGCCAGTCCTGCCCAGTGCCCCTCAGCTCAGGGCCTGCCCGCTTCTCCTCCTTTCCTCCCCCAGGGGACTGTCCTCTGTGACATCATCCTGCTCAACTTCCTGAAGGGGGCCGACCAATACAAAGCCAAGAAGTTTGAGGAGGTGAGTGGGGCCCAGGAGAGGCAGCGAGACAGGGCAGGGAGGGCCCCTGGGCCCCAGGGACTCTCAGCGGCCCCAGGAGCTCACCTTCCAGGGGCTTCTGAAGGGAAGTTCACTGGGCCTCAGGGCACACTGGAGCTCCCCACCAGAGGATGTTTGGCCAAGAGCAGACTCTGTGAGAACCGTATGGCTCTGTGGGTGGTCGCTGTTGCCACCCCATCCGTTCATTGTCCCCTCTCCATTTCTGGGGCAGGACTAATGCTGCTATGGGCTGGCTCTGGTTCTGCCTGCCCTTGAGATGCTTGGGTGGAGTCCTGGGATCCCACAGACCCGCCGTAGCTCCCCGAAGACCAGGCTGGGCGCCTCGACTGCTGAGTCTGTCCAGTGGGGCCCTTGCCCAAAGTCAGAGCACCCTCATGCCAGTCCTCTGCCTGCAGGTGAACGAGACGACGCTGAAGGTCGCTGCCTCGGCCAATCCAGTGTTCCCCAGCGACCAGACCCCAGAGGAGAAGCAGTCCACTGACTCGGGGGCCTTCTCCATTGGCCACTAAGGCCTCCACCCAGGGCCCCACACGCACTGCTGGGCTCCACACCTCCCAACAGAGGACCCCACTGGGCAAGGGGGATGGGAGAGGGCGGACTCTCCCTTCTGCTGCTCATCCCACGGGGCCACAGCTGGAAGGCGTCTGGGCCCCCCAGTGCCCCTCCCCCCCCCCCAACTGAGCCTTCACTCTCACCTTCACCCCATGCCTGGCCCCTGTCTGCTTCCCAGGACCCCCCGGGGCAACAGCACCTGAGTCTTCCCCTTTCCAAAGAATAGAGATAATAATAGTAATAATGAGTGCCTGCCAAGTGCCCGGCACTTCACACACACTATCTCATTTAATCCTTAGAAGAATCCTGTAACATATTTAGATATTAGGCTCGCCATTTTGAAGATAATCTGAGGCTCAGAGAGACTGAATCATTTGCCCAAGGTTACACAGCCAGGCATCGAGAGAGCTGGGATTTGAACCCAGGTCTCCATTGCCTACACCTCACTAGAGAAAAGGCACTCCCACAGGTGTCCGCTGCTGCTTCAGCCTCCTCCACCCTGACCAAGATTAGGTTCAGCTTAATAAAGAGTAAGCCCCGCCCTACCCGGTTTGGCTCAGTGGATAGAGCATCAGCCTGCAGACTGAAAGGTCCCAGGTTCGGTTCTGGCCAAGGGCACATGCCCAGGTTGCCGGCTCGATCCCCAACGGGGGGCCTGCAGGAGGCAGCGAATTGATGATTCTCTCTCATAATGGATGTTTCTATCTCTCTCTCCCTCTCCCTTCCTCTCTGAAATCAATAAGAATAAAAAAAAATAAAGAGTAAGCCCCAGGCTGGCCCCACCCCAGGAACTTGGGCCCGATTTGAGGGGAGACCAGTGAGACTGATGGGAGCTCTTTCTCTGACTCAGGTGAGAAGGAAACAGGAGTCCTGACTGTCAGTGAATTTTTCTTACCTCACCCCATAGCTCTGTCCTCACACCGGGGCCATTCTTGTTCTCTCTCCGGGACCCTAGATGTACCCACACACATCTGTCCCCTCACTGCAGGAACCGGTTTGGCTGCCCCAGTGGGAGGGGATTCCCGGACCTGAGGCCCTGCTCCAAGAAGCTAGCGTCCTCCTCGAAAATGCTAGTGCAAAGGCCCCCAGTAGCCCCAGTGCCCTGCGAGCAGCTGGTCAGCCAGGCCTGTCCCCACAGGGTCCTGATAAGGTGATCGGTCTCCTCGTGCCAGAAGCTAAAGGGTCTTAGAAACCATCTCGCCTGACTCTCCCAATTACCAACAGCAAACTGAGGTGGGAGATGGGAAATGGCTGTCCCATGGTTTGACTGTCTCGTGGTTAGTGCCCTGGCACTCGGGGAAGGAGGAAGGACGGGGCGCTGGCAGGGCTGTGAGAGGGTCCACCCTGCCTCCATATCCCCTCCCATGCAGAGCTCAAGGGCAGATCTCTGTTTTATGAAGCCTAAAGGATACACCTCTTGGGGCATCTTTAAAAAAAATAATACACATTTGGGTAATAGAAGGAGTTCGTGCAAGTGAGCAGCCCTGAAGTATGTTCCACTAGTTCCTGGCAAACCACTCTGGAGGAGCTGGAGTGTGGGCATGACCTTGAGGGCTGAGCAGAGAGGAGCTGAACTGTAGGTGGAGGGCCGGCCTCTCCTCAGTGGTGCAGAGGACAGGGAGTGAGGGTGGGTTGGGGGAGACAGCTCCGATCCCATCCTGTAGTTTGGGAGGATCAAGCCATGGGCACTTTCAAAGGCCCCACCCCAATGACCCATGGGGCGAAGGGGTAAGATTCTCCCACACAAGGTCCTTTCCCCCTCCCCCCACCCCGCCTCATCCCAGCCCCACCCTCAGGAAGGTGGGATTACACCTCCCCAGGGACGGCCTTGGGGATCCGCAGTGTCTGGAGATCTGGCCAGCAGCCCTCAGTGGAAGGCAGCATTGTGTTCTCCACCCAGAGGCCCAGAGGCACCCCCCTTCCCATCCTCATGCACCCAGCTCTCAGAAAGCTAGGGTCACAGGGATGTTCTCTGTGTAGGAGATCCAGACAGCTATATCCTGGGGCAGTGTTTCCCAAACTTTTGACATATGTGTACCCCTTCTATAATTTTTGTAACACTGAGCACCCCTCATACTCATGAGAACGTAGAATTAGGCGCAGCTAAGCATGGTGCAGGGCATATCCCCACCAAACTCCGTTGCAACGCGTACCCCCACCAAACTCTTCCCGTACCCCTGGGGGTACATGTACCATACTTTGGGAGACACAGTCCTGGGGGAACCCTTTCCTCCAACCCTTCCCTTTCCTCCAGGCTGGGTGGTCCTGAGCCTGCCAGCAAGTGTGTGTGAACTCATGAGTGTGAGCCTGACCTTGTCCTCCCCACAGCTGAGCGAAGTGGCCGCTTCTGTGTGCTGGGCTTAGGCGGGTATCAGCAGTCACAACAATAGTGAGCTTCTCTCTCTGCTGCCTCATGGTGTCCTCTGCACCATCACCCACATAATCACCCACCAGCCCTGGGGAGGCTGCTGTGTTCCGTTATGAATCCTGTGTAATAGAAAAGAAACTGACAATATATGGAAACTGGAACTGGGATCCACGCTCATTCCTAACTCTACATCGCTTCTTTAGTTACTCAGCATAAAAGCTAACATTTAGTGAGAACTTGCTATGGCCAAGCAATGGGCTATTTACGTTAGAGGGTTTGTCTAATTCAACCCACATTTTACAGAAGAAGAAACTGAAATGAGGGTGTTATCATGTAAATCAAAGGATGCCTTCATCAATAAGCCAAATTTATTTGGAGTCTTTTTCATTTCACTAGAGCTAACGGGCCTGAAGGAAATGTCGCTTCTCAAGTTCGAGGGTCAAAATAAAGGACGTCTTTCCTATTTATGTGTTTTTGAGTTCTTTGTCTTCCAAATCTGGAATGAGACGTCTGGACCTTCTGAGAAAGAGGTCCTGTGTGCCGGGAAGGGGCCATGGAGATCACATCTCAAGGCCTGGCCTGGCACCAGCAGTGACAACTCTGTCTGGGGCATAGTATATGGCCTCTCTGGAATGGGAGCGGTCTTCTTTTTCCCTGTTATTTAAGGAAGCTAACATTTACAGAAGCCAGAAAAGAAAGTAAGGGCCAGGATCAGGCCAAAAAGGCACAGGGCTAGGCAAGGCTACTCTCCCCTCCTCCCATTGTGGTTACAGCAGGTGGGATCTCACAACTGTTAAACAGGCCCCAAACGGAGTCACTCGTGCTAAGCCCACCCAAACCAAGACTTAATACCTAACCTAGTGCAGTCTCAGCATCCCCAAGGAAGGTCACCCTTACCCAGTCAATCTGAAATTGCCTGGTCAGCACTAGTGAGGTCATTCTTTCTTTAAAAAAAAAAAAAAAATCCTCACCTACGGATATTTTTCCATAAATTCTATTTATTTATTTATTTATTTATTTATTTATTTTAGAGAGACAGAGAGTGAGGATGGAGGGGGAGAGACAGAGAGAAGGAAACATCAATGTGAGAGGTGTGTTGGCTGCCTCCCACACATGCACAGGTCGGGGGGAGGGGTAGGATGGAGGCTGCAACTGAGATACATGCCCTGACCTAGGGCTGACGCCCTATCCACTGAGCCAAACCAGCTAGGGCTGGCAATCCTCTTGAAAGACCCTTTCCAAAGAAAGGTGACCTCTCCTGAAACAATGAATTCTTTGTGAGAACCTTCCTTCTGCTCCCTTCCGCCTACAAACGCCTTGCATTTTTACAGCTTCTCAGAGCTTCTTTCTCTTTGCTGGTTGGGATGCTGCCTGATTCATGAATCGATGTTAAAGCCAATTTCATCTTTAAATGTACTCAGTTAGATTTTGAACAGTCCTCCAGTTCTTGAATCAGTGATATCACTCTCATTTTGGAAAGCTGCCCCACTCCCACCCCACTCCGCACCCTATACTCACTGAATCCAAACAAAGCAGGAGGGCCATTCCCCCCCCCCCAGACCCCACCCAATGAGAACTTCCTCCAGATCGTGAGTGGGTGCGGGTCGGGAGGTGGGGGACAGGGAAGGGGTGGAATCCCCAAGCCTAGGCTGAGAAGGGTCTTGGAAGAGCCACCCAGCCCTGACTCCGCCCCTAGGTGGCGCTGCAGCCAAACTCCTCAGTGCCCCACCCCAATTTCCACATCACGGTGGGCCACTGGAACATCATTTACTTTCCTCAAAGCCCCACCCTGTAGGAGTGAGGGCTTCCAGGATTTCCAACCCCACGGAGTCCTCTAATAAGCAATGAAGAATCAAGAGTCAGGAAATGCGGTGGGAAACATAGCTTTATGACCAGGAGAGGCAGGGAGTCCAGCCTAGGGTCCAGGGTGAGCCAGGGGCAGTCAGGAGGGATGCAGGGAGGGGACACCTAGGCAGGATCTCTTCCACGCCACTGGCTTAGAAGGAGCAGATGAAGGGCAGACGTCTTCCACAACGTGTTCGTCGCCAATGACCCCCTAGCAGTAGAGAACACAGTGATGTCAGCTGCCATCAGAGTGTGGCCCATGCCTCCCTTGCCCTCCCACTGTCATGATATGTTTGCCACACACCCCTCCAATAGCTTGTGTTTGTTAAGTTTTCACCCCAGGAAAACAGGGCGCTGAGTGCTTTCTGTGGGTTCCTGGCTAATCCTCATAATGACTCCCAGAGGGAGGTGCTGGCATCATCCCCATTGCACAGATGAGGAACCTGAGGCTCAGCAGGGAAATCACTTGCCTGTATGCCAGTGGGCAGGTGGCAGAGCTGGGATGGAAATTGTAGCAGCCTTCCTCCAGCGTGTATGGCCTTAGCCATAGTCCTGAGTCCCTCACCTCTGGCATTCAGCCATTCCTAATTCCCACCTCTCTCCCTTGTCCCTCATCCACACCTTTCATTCACCTCATTTGTCATTTCATTAACAGAGGAAGGAAAGGAGCTCCCAGGCCCCCAGCCAAGCTTCCTCTGTAAGGATGGGGAGCTCCCATCCAGCTCTCACACAGGGCACCCCCCCCACCATCCTACTTCACAGCCCTCCCCACATTGCTTCTCCAGTTGTGGGGAGGCTGTGAGTTTGAGGAGGAGAGGTGCTCAGGCAGCTCAAAGGGACAGTGTGTAAGAGTCCACCCTGCCATCCCTTCCCTTTGCCCTGGTGCCCAGGCCTCACCTCGGGTGCATAGGCTCACACAGCGGCCTCGCCCAGGATGATGTGCCCAGTTACTAAAATTTACAGCACTCCCATCAATCCAGCGAAACCCGGAGCACTAGAACGAGAGAGGGGTCGGCTGGGTCAGAAGCTGAGGTCCAGGAAGACAGACAGATCCAGAGGTTCCAGAAAATGCCCACTGAGAGTCCCTTTCTGGGCCCTGCCCACCCAGCTAGGAGCCAGATATTCAAGAGATCCACTCCTCGAGGTTCACAGGCGATCACAATGGAAGAGAGTAGTGGTGTGTGTGGGTGTGTGTGTGTGTCCGCCTCACACACCAGGCTTCTCAAATTTTCTGTGAATACAAGTCTCCTGCAGATCTTTTTAAAATGCAATTGCTGAGTCAGGAGTTTCAGATGGGCCCAAGACGGTGCATCTCTAACAAGCTACTAGGCGATGCTAATACTGCTTGGTCCATGGACCACACTTAAGTCGTAAACATAATAGTACTTATTCACCCACTATCGCAGAATCACTGTGGAGAGAAGGACCCCATTTTACTAGACATGAGAAATCTATTCAGCTGGTGAGTGAACAGGCTGGGCAAGAAAGAGATCTCCTGACTCCAGTGGTGTGCTGGTAACTGTTCATCAACCAGCTCTGGGGAAAGCTGAGAAGGCAGAGCAAGGGAGGAACCCTGATTTGTAACAATAGCCTATTTCCATGGGGTAAGTACACCTGCCATGGCAGATTTTATTCCACAGGCACAAAATGACTGATATAGTTACTGAACATGAACTTGGGAAGAGAGGTGCACAATCACTAGTTCTCTTTAGCCAGCACCAGCCAGCTCCCCCACTGCTTCCCACAGGAAGGTCACGTGGCTGCTGGCATGAGGCCTGATGCCAGGGAGACCTTCCTGCACCTGAGAGGTGGCCCCTCACTTACCCAGCCCTTGATTCTGCCTCCAATCCAGACCCGGACCTGGTTGCTCCTACTGGCCAAGGACTGGAGTTGATTGTTGATGCAGAGGTTGTGGATAGAGACGAGGTTGCCATGATAGCACCTCCTGCAAACTTTCTGCAGAAAGAAGAGGTGGAGGTAGATAATTCACTGCGGGGCCCCCCCCACTCAAGTTCCTAAGACTCCAGGAGTGAACTTTTCCAGCCCTGGTGAGGTCAGAAATCAGGGATGTACTTGCTCCTTGAAGCCTATCTCTTGCTTTTTTATCTGTCACCAGGAACTTCAGTAAAAATAATAATAATACTGAGAATAATCTTAGCCACTGTTTACTGGGAGTTCACAAGCACCCAAGGACTGTTCCAAATGCTTCCCATGTATTACCCCGTTTAATCCTCACCACGACCTAAGAGATTGGTCTTACTCCATTGTACAAGTGAGGGTCCTGAAGCTCTGAAACGTGAAGTGACTTGCCCAAGTAACATACGAATGACAGGTGGAGCCAGGGTTTAACACAGGTATATCTCATACCAAAGCTCTTTCCCTAATTCAGTGATTCTCAAAGTACTGTCTCCAGACCAACTACAATTTAGTTTCTTCTTCTTCTTCATCATCATCATCATCATCATCATCATCTCATTCCACAGATATGCTCAGAATCAGGGCCCGTTCCACTACCCTGGGTCCTAAAGGCAAACTCTTGGGCCCCACCTCAGACTTGCTCACCCTGAAATCTATGCTTCAAGAATACTTCTAGGAGAGTCTGCTGCACATCAGGGTTTGAGAACCACTGGTCTAAATGGATAGGGAACAGGAGGTGGAACCCACTCTCTTCTCCTACCCCTGGGCTTCCTTCCACAGTAGCCTCCCTGCCACTTACCCGAGCGCCTCGAAATCTCCTGCAGGTGTGCACCAACACATAGCGGCAGGTCTTACACTCAGGACTGCCGCTGATTTCCACTGTGTCCTCTGCTCTGGGGCATTGGAAGTTCTCATCTAGGTCATCTGGGTCTGACTCCATGGCATTCTCATCCTCAAAGTCATCTTGGCAGCTGGAATCCTCCACCTGCTCTCCTTCAGACTGAATCCCCTCCTCAGTCAGGACTGACTCTCCTTCCTGCTCCCCTGAGCCTTCCAGATCCTGGCTCAGGTCAGCCTGTGACTCTTGGCTGTCCAGATAGGGGGCATCATTCCCTGGGAAGAAGAGGTAACCTGCCATCAGGTCAGGGTCTCCTTCTTCCAGGACCACGGACAGCTCTGACTGCCCCACTCAAGCCTTCCTAGTGCTTCCTTCTGGAACCTTGGCCAGAAGGATCTCCTTCCTGTTGGGTGAGGTGAGAACTCACACAAAGGGATGAGCACCTGGCACTGGCTGGCAGGAGTGTATATGGGGTAGGAAGAAGCTGCTCTGAGAAGATGGGTGGTGTTTGGTTGAGGAGCAGAATGTTCAGGTCACATTTCTGAGTCCAAGAGAGATCTTACCTGAGAGGAGCTGGGGCCACCAAAGAAGGAAAAACTGAGGCCTGGCCCAGAGAGCCAAAGAGGTGCCAGAAAGAGGAGAAGGGGTCAAGCTGGATGAGAAGGGAAGGGAGGACTTACCCACATGAAGAGCAGTAGCTGTCCCCAGCAGGAGGAGCAGCAGAAACAGGGGGAGTTTCATAGTCACTGGTTCTTGTGGCAGGGACACAGCTTCACTGCCCGCCCTGGGGCTGTCCTGTGTGTCTGTCACACAACAGAGATGCAATGTTTGTTGGAGTAGCTGATTAAAGGCAAACTAGAGAGCTTCCTTCTCCCCAGTGAACACATGCTGATCTGGAGAAGCAGGAAAAATCTATTTTACCTGAGGGCTCCATCACTGGCCCCTGGGACTGCACTTAGCCCAGACCCTGCCCCTGCAGGAGCAGGTCTGCTCGGGGTAAGGGCCCATTTTACTACACTGAGGACGGAATGGCCATCAGGGTCCCAAGGACAGGCCTCCTTGGTGTTTGCCATATAGGCTTCTGCTTCCTCTCAAGCCTTGGACCCCTCCTCCCTGGGAAGCTGGGGGAGCACTCACCTCTCAAGAATCCAAGACCTCCACTCTTGGTGTCTCTGACTACTGGGTCCCAGAGGCAGTCCTTATATTGGGCTTTTGGGGAAGTGGGAAGAGGCAAAGAACATTGCTCCAGGCTGCGGTGCTGGGCAGGGGAGCTGATAATAAGGCATTTGCTCAATTCTCTCACCAGCTCCCTGCAGGGACTGCAGGGACTTGACTCCTGGGGTCCACTGACACATATGGGTGTCCAAACACCCATGTGTGCTGGAGAAGACTCCAGATGTCTACTGCCCAGATGTGCTTACTATTAGCACCCCTAAAGTGCCCCAGTCTTAACCTCAGGAGCAGCCTTCTTCTGGTCAATATCCCAGCCAATAAGTGGAGCATCCTAGAATGCTGGGGGACCGGGAGGCAAGGAGGGAGGAGGTGCTCACCTCCTGATTGCTTTGCTAGACCAGGGACTTCATAAGCATCCCATCCCAGAATCCTCACCTTCTCCTCATTCCCATGAGCATGTATGATGACCCTAACTTCATAGGTGTGAAAAATGAGGTACAGAGAGGGGAAGTCCCTTGCAAGCGTGCACATTAAGTGTAGAAATGGGATTCCTAGTCTTTTGGCTCCAAAACCTCCTATCTATTGATTATCTATCTATCTACCTACCTACCTACCTCTTTCTCTCCCACCCTCCCTTCTTATTCCCCTCCTTTCTTTTGTTTCTCATTCTCACTCTAGTTCTCCCTCTTCTTCTTTTTTCATATTTAATGTGTGAAAAACTTATGCTCTTTCTTCTATGCTATAGCTCTAGATCAAGGTTCTCAACTTTTGCATTGTTACTATTTGGAGTAAAGTAATTCTTTGTTGTGTGTTGGGGAGAGGAGACTGTCAAGAGTATAGCAGCATCCCTGGTCTCTACTCACTAGATGTCAAGAGTACCTCCACCTGTCAATCTGATTGTCCCCCAAGAGGATCAAAAACATCTCCACCTATTTCCAAATGTCCTCTGGGGAGCAAAGCTGCCTCCACTGAGAACCACTGATCTAGAAAATCCAACCTCAAGGCATATCTTCAGGCAAAGAGGCGACAGCTGCCACGAAAAGCTTCTTGTAGAATCTTTCAGACACCCTGGGGGCCACCCTCCCCATCCCCACCCTCATCTCCCACCAGCCCTCTGTCACCACCAGGGTCAGGACTAGGAAGCAGTGAGTGAGGCACTCATCTCAGGTGCAAAGTTTAAGGGGCCACTAAAGAATTCAGTAGTCAAATAATGCTTTCATGCAATCTTTCTTGGAAAGAAAAATAAATGCAAAAACATCTCTGATGAGTAAAATATAAAAACTTTCATCAACTCAGATCCAGCCACATTCACTGCAGTCCAAAGAGAGGCCAACAAGTGCCAAGCCCTGGAGCTGCTGAATATCCCTGCTGGGAGCTAGTGACCTTGACAGACAGGGTGATCCACTCTGTGACAGTCCCCTGGGAAGTGATTTCTTCCTCAGACCCCAGCCAAACCTTCCAGGCCTTAGGGCACCAGGGACAATAGCCCAGAGAGTTAAACGGCCTTTCCTGCCTGTGTCCCAGGCGACCTGCGAATGGAGAAGTGTCTGAGAAGTCACTCTTGAGCCTTATTGCAGAGTAAAACGGTCTTGACTGTTATCTGACACAACAGATCAGATCCTCAGCTTATCTACTGGCATGGAGTGGTGTTAGGGGGGTGATTGAACAATTGTGGGGCCCAAGAAGCTGGTCTTGCATTTAAAGTTTGAGTCCACCCTGGAGGTGTGTGTGGGGGGGGGGGCAGATGGAAGAGGTAGACCCCTCCCCAGCATTCTCCTCCCTCTGGGAGCCCAGGCCTGGGGCATCATATCACTCACTGGAAGAGATGCTCAAGCTGCTCTCAAGAGCCAGCATCACAGTGGTCTGTAACACTCTGTCCCTTGAACAGCCCTGTGTTACAGATGTGGAAACAACGCCTCAGAGAGCTTGAACAAGTTGCCCAAGATCACACAGCAAGTCACAGACAGGCCTAACGGCTGGTCTTCCAGTTCCTTGTCCCCCATGGCTGCCTGCCCTCTGCCTCCTCTCAGTCACCTGCATTCTCTACAGCCTGCTTCCCCACCTCCATCTTGTTTGCACTCAAACCCCAGGCAAACACATTCCAATTGCTTCAGCGAACACAGTAATGTCTGATTTAAACTGAAAATAACATTTGAAGGCCCACCACCGACCAAATACTTTGCTGCATGAAGCCGCTGACATCCATTACCCCAGTTAATTTTTATAATCATCCTATGAAATGGGTATTTCCATCTCTAGTCTACACACCTAGTACAGAAACTCAGAGAGGTTCTGGGACCTGCCCAAGTTCACAAAACTAAAAAGGAGTGGTATGGCTGACTTCTAGGTCCTTGCTTCTTTGATACCCCCAGACAGTCTGCATTTACTCCCATCCAATGCTGCCTCTGGTTTCAGCATCCGTGAAACTGCGTCTGGCTTATGTTTGCATTTATGTTCCAAGGAGTTTCAAACTCTGCCTCTTTATCTTGAGGGCCAGTCCGGTCCCACATTAGGCATTGGTTGGGTCTTAAGTGTAGTGTGATGCAAATGATTGGCAAGTTCCAGAGTATCACTTTTCTCATCTGCGATCTGAGTATAATGACAAAATCTGCCTCTAATGAGATCAGCTCTAATAAGGCTCTCGGTACATGGCTTGGACCTGGGGCTGTCAGAAAGACAGGACTGGATCTGGGACCTGTATCCACAGATAATCACTGTCTAGATTGCCCACCTGTACTCTGCTGGCGTGGTGGACAGAATTCCAGGGGTTCTGTCCTAAAGATGGAACTAAGCTAGCACCTTGTTGGGATGGAAAAGCCCATATTTTGGGATGTAAGGCCTGTCCTCTTATTTTATTACTTTTACTTTTTTATTTTTAATCCTCACCTGAGGATAATTTTCCAGGGAGTTTTAGAGAGAGTGGAAGTGAGAAGGAAAGACTGAGGGAAATATTGATGTGAGAGATACAGTTCCATTGGTTGACTTCCACATGTGTCCAGGACCCTGGGCCTCGGAAGGAGCCTGCCACCAAGGTATCTGCCCTTGCCCAGAGTCCAACCAGGGACACTTCAGTCCGCAGGCCAGTGTTCTATCCACTGAGACAAACCAGCTAGAGCTGGTAATCCTCTTGAAAGACCCCTTCAAAAAAAAGTGACCTCCCCTGAAGCAATGCATTCTTTGCTAGAACCTTCCTTCTGCTCCCTTCTGCCTATAAACGCCTTACATTTTTACAGCTTCTCAGAGCTTCTTTCTCTTTGCTGGATGGGATACTGCCTGATTTATGAACTGATGAATAAAGCAAATTTCATCTTGAAATGTCCTCAGTTAGATTTTGAATAGTCCTCCAGTTCTTAAATCAGTGATAACACCCTTATTTGGAAAGCTGCACCACTCCCACCCCACCCCCCACCCTATACTGAATCCAAACAAAGCACAAGGGCCATTTCCCCACCCCCCAGGCCCCACCCAATGAGAACTTCCATCAGACCGGGCAGGGTGGGCAGAGAGGGATGGAATCCCCCAGTCAAGGCTGAGAAGGGTCTTGGAAGAGCCACCCAGCCCTGACTTTGCCCCCAGGTGGCGCTGCAGCCTAACCACTCAGAGCCCCACCCCCATTCCCACAGCATCTTGAACTGCTCTCCATCTTTTATTTTCCTCAAAGCCCCACCCTGTAGGAGGGAGGACTTCCAAGATTTCCAACCCAGGGGAGTCCTCCAATGTGCAATGAAGAATCAAGAGTCAGGAAATGCGGTGGGAAACATGGCTTTATGACCAGGAGAGCACAGGGTCCAGGGTGGGCCAGGGGCAGTCAGGAGGGATGCAGGGAGGGGACACCAAGGCAGGATCTCTTCAACGCCACTGGCTTAGAAGGAGCAGATGAAAGGCAGACGTCTTTCACAACATTCTCGTCGCCAATGACCTCCTAGCAGTAGAGAACACAGTGATGTCAGCAGCCATCAGAGTGTGGCCCATACCTCCCTTGCCCTCCCACTGTCATGATATGTCTACCATACACCCCTCTAATAGCTTGTGTTTGTTAAGTTTTCACCCCAGGAAAACAGGGTGCTGAGTGCTTTCTGTGGGTTCCTGGCTAATCCTCATAATGACTCCCAGAGGGAGGTGCTGGCATCATCCCCATTGCACAGATGAGAAACCTGAGGCTCAGCAGGAAAATCACTTGCCTGTATGCCAGTGGGCAAGTGACAGAGCTGGGATGGGAATTGTGGCAACCTTTCTCCAGCGTGTGTGGTCTTAGCCATAGTCCTGAGTCCCTCACCTCTGGCATTCAGCCATTCCTAATTCCCACATCTCTCCCTTGTCCCTCATCCACACCTTTCATTCACCTCAGCTACTCTCAGTTGTCACCTCAGTAGCAGAGGAAGGAAAGGAGCTCTCAGGCCCCCAGCCAAGCTTTGTCTGTGAGGATGGAGAGCCCTTATCCAGCCCTCACACAGAGTACCCCCTCTCCCTACTTCATAACCCTCCTCACAACTGTGAGTTTGAGGAGGAGGTGTACTCAGGCAGCTCAAAGGGACAGTGTGTAAGAGTCCACCCTGCCATCCCTTCCCTTTGCCCTGGTGCCCAGTCCCCCCTCACCTCTGGTGGATAGGCCCAAACAGTGGCCGCTCCCACGCTGATGAGCCCAGTGGCGAAAATTTGCACTGCTCCCATCAACCCAGTGTATCGTGGAGCACTAGAAGGAGACAGGGGATAGGCTAGATCAGAGGCTGAAGTCCAGGAAGACAAACAGATCCAGAGGTTCCAGAAAATGCTCACTGTGCGTCCCTTTCTAGGCACTGCCCACCCAGCTAGGAGCCAGATATCCAGGAGACTCAGCCCTCAGGATTCGCAGGCTATCACAGCGGAAGAGTAGTGGTCCCTCCCCTCCTCACACAGTCGGGCTTCTCAAACTTTCTGTGAATACAAGTCTCCTGCAGATCTTTTTAAAATACAGATGTTGATTCAGGAGTCTCAGATGGGCCCAAGATTGTGCATCTCTAAGAAGCTATTAGGCCATGCTAATACTGCTTGGTTATATATGAGTAGCAAACATAATAGCACTTATTCACTCTCTATCCCAGAACCACTCTGAGAGAGGGGCCCCATTTTAGACGTGAGCAAGCCATTCAGCTTGTAAATGACCAAACTGGGAAAGTAAAGGATCTCCTAACTCCAGTGGTGTGCTGGTAACTGTTTATCAACCAGTTCTGAGGGAAGCTTAGGAGGCAGAGTGAGGAAGGAACCCTGATTTGTAACAGTAGCCTATTACCTTGGGGTAAATACACCTGCTATGGCAGATTTCATGCCAGCACCAGCCAGCTTCCCCAATGCCTCCCACAGGAAGGTCACTTGGCTGCTGGAATGAGGCCTGATGCCAGAGAGAACTTCCTGTACCTGGGAGCTGTTCCTTCACTTACCGGGTCCTTGACGATTCCTCCAATCCAGACCCAGAAATCATTGACCTGACCAGACAAGCACTGGAGTTGATTGTTGACACTGCGGTTGTGGATAGAGACCAAGTTGCCATTGTAGCACCTCCTGCAGGTGTTCTGCAGAAAGAAGAAGTGGAATAGAGAGTTCACTAGGTTTTTTCCCCTCAAGTTTCTAAGTCTCCAGGGGAGAGTTCTCCATCCCTGGTCAAGTCAGAAATCAGGGATCTACTTGCTCCTTCAATCCTATCTCTTGCTCCTTTATCTGTCACCTGGAATTTCTTGCAGGAAGTAATAATAATAATAATAATAATAATAATAATAATATTATTATTATATTGAGAATAATCTTAGCCACCATTTACTGGGAGTTTACAATGACTTGAGGACTGTTCCAAATGCTTTCCATGTATTGAGGTTGGTACAAGTGAGGATCCTGAAGCTCTAATGGTAAAGTAACTTACCCAGGTTAACATGCCAATGATGGGTGGAGCCAGCGTTTAACACAGGTATATCGAATAACAAAGCCTTTTGTCCAAATCAGTGATTCTCAAAGTACTTGATATATTGTCTCCAGACCAACAATATCATCATCACCTGGCACTTGGGCCTCGCCCTAGACTTGCTCACCCTGAAATCTATGCTTCAAGAATACTTCTAGGAGAGTCTGCTGCACACCATGGTTTGAGAACCACTGGTCTAAATGAATAGGGAATAGGAGATGGAACCCACTCTCTTCTCCTACCCCTGGACTTCCTTCCACAGTAGCCTCTGTGTCATTACCTGAGCGACTGCAAATACTCTGTGAGTCTTCACCAACTTGTAGCGGCAGGTCTTGCACCCAGGGCTGCCACTTATTTCCACTGTGTCCTCTTCCCTGGGGCACTGGAAGTTCTCATCTAGGGCACCGGGATCTGACTCCATGGCCTTCTTGTCCTCAAAGGCATCTTGGCAGTTGGAAGCCTCCTCCTGCTCTCCTTCAGACTGAATCCCCTCCTCAGTCAGTACTGACTCTCCCTCCTGCTCCCCTGAGCCTTCCAGATCCTGGCTCAGGTCAGCCTGTGACTCTTGGCTGTCCAGATAGGGGGCATCATTCCCTGGGAAGAAGAGGTAACCTGCCATCAGGTCAGGGTCTCCTTCTTCCAGGACCACGGACAGCTCTGACTGCCCCACTCAAGCCTTCCTAGAGCCTCCTTCTGGAGCCTAGGCCAAAAGGATCTCCTTCCTGTTGGGTGAGGTGAACACTCACACAAAGGGGTGAGCACCTGGCAGTGGCTGACAGGTGTGTATATGGGGTAGGAAGAAGCTGCTCTGAGAAGGTGGGTGGTGTTTGCTTGAGGAGGAGGCCTGACAGAATGTTCAAGTCACATATCTGAGTCCATGAAAGATCTTACCTGAGAGAAGCTGCATCCACTGAAGAAGGAAAAGCTGAGGCCTGGTCCAGAGAGAGCCAAAGAGGTGTCAGAAAGAAGAGAAGGGATCAAGCTGGATGAGAAGGGAAGGGAGGACTTACTCAAATGAAGAGCAGCAACTGTCTCCAGCAGGAGGAGCAGCAGGAACAGGGGGAGTTTCATAATCACTCGTTCTTGGGCAGGGACACAGATTCACTTCAGGCCGTGGGTCTGCTCACTGTGTCTGCACAGCTCCTGTCACACAACAGAAATGTAATGTTTGTTAGAGTGGCTGATTAAAGGTCAAAGTAGAGAGCTTTCTTCTCCCTCAGTGAACAGACGCTGACCTGAAGAAGCAGAAAAAGTCCCTTTTACCTGAGAGTTTCATCACTGGCCCCTACAGGAACCAGTCTGTTCTAGGTCAGGACAAAGTGCAAGAACAGTGGCCATCAGGGTCCCAAGGACAGGCCTCCAAGGTGTTTGCCATATACACATCTGCTTCCTCTCAAGCCTTGGACCCCTCCTCCCTGGGAAGCTGGGAGAGCACTCACCTCTCAAGAGTCTGAAGTCTTCACTCTTGGTTTCTCTGATTATTGGGTCCCAGAGGCAGTCCTTATATTGGGCTTTTGGGGAAGTGGAAAGAGGCCAGGACGATTGCCCCAGGCTGGGGTACTGGGCAGGGGAGCTGATAGTAAGGCATTTGCTCAATTCTCTCACCTGCTCCCTGCAGGGACATGCCTGCTGGGGTCCACTGACACATATGGGTGTCCAAACACCCATGTGTGCTGGAGAAATCCTCAGATGTCTACTGCCCAGATGTACTTACTATTAGCACCCTAAAGTGCCCCAGTCTTAACCCCAGGAGCAGCCTTCTTCTGCTCAGTATCCCAGCCAATAAGTGGAGCATCCTAGGATGTTGGGGTCCATGAGGAGAGAAAGGAGGAGGTGCCCATCTCCCAAGTGTTTGTCTAGACCAGGGACTTTATATGCATCCCATCCCAGAATCCTTACCTTCTACTAATTCCCGTGAGCATGTATGATGATCCTAACTTCACAGGTGTGAAAAATGAGATTCAGAGAGAGAAAGTCCTTTGCAAGAGTGTGCACAGGAAGAGGGGACCTGGGATCCCTGGTTCTTTTGGCTCCCACATCTCCTATCTATCTATCTATCTATCTATCTATCTATCTATCTATCTATCATCTATCTATCATCTATCATCTCTTTCCCTCTCTCCTTCCCTTCCTCCCTTCTCCCTTCCCTCCCTCTTATTCTCTTTCTCACTCTAGTTCTCCCTCTTCTCTGTTTTTCATCTTTAAGTGTGAAAAACTTATGCTCTTTCTTCTGTGCTATAGATCTAGATCAAGGTTCTCAACCTTTGCACTGTTACTATTTGGAGTAAAGTAATTCTTTGTTGAGTGTTGGGGAGAGGTCTGTCCAAAGTTTAGCAGCATCCCTGGTCTCTACTCACTAGATGTCAGGGGTACCTTCCCCCATCAATCTGATTGTCCCTCAAGATGATCAAAAACATCTCCACCTATTTCCAAATGTCCTCTGGGAAGCAAAGTTGCATCCATTGAGGATCACTGATCTAGAAAACGCCATTTAATCCAACCTCAAGGCACATCTTCAGCCTCAAGGCATATCTTCAGACAGCTGCTATGGAGAGTTTCATGTAGAATCTTTCAGACACCCTGGGGGCCATCCTCCTTACCCCCACCTTCATCTCCCACCAGCCCTCTGTCACCAACAAGGTCAGGATTAGGAGGCAGTGAGTGAGGCACTCAACTCAGGTGCAAAGTTTAAGGGGCCACTAAAGAATTCAGTAGTCAAATAATGCTTTCATGCAATCTTTCTTGGAAAGAAAAATAAATGCAAAAACATCTCTGATGAGTAAAATATAAAAACTTTAACCAAGCCAGCTCCAGCCACATTCACTGCAGTCCAAAGAGAGGCCAACAAGTGCCAAGCCCTGGAGCTGCTGAATATCCCTGCTGGGAGCTAGCTACATGTAGGCTGTGACATCTATTTCCCCACTTAATCTTTACAATCGCCCATGACATTCCCCTGGGCAGTCATGTTTTTTTCTCAGGCCCCATTCCAGCCCTCCAGACCTCTGGTAACCAGGGACAGATAGCCCAGAAAGTTAAAAGGTCTTTCCTGTCCCAAGTGACCTACAAATGGAGAAGTGTCTAAGAGGTCATTCCTGGGCCTTATTGCAAAGTAAAACGGTCTTGGCTGTTATCTCTCTGACCCAACAGACCAGATCCTCAGCTTATCTACTGGCATGGGGTGATGTTAGTGGGGAGATTGGCCAATTGTGGGGCCCAAGTACCTGGTCTTGCATTTAAAATTAAAGTCCACCCTAGGTTGGGGGGAAGATGGAAGAGGTAAACCCCTCCCAAGCATTCTCTTCCCTCTGGGAGCCCAGGCCTGGGGCATCATATCATTGGCTGGTTGGGATGCTCAGCTGCTCTCTAAAGCCAGACTCATGATGAGCTTTACACACACTTTCCCTTGAACAGCCCGTGTCACAGATGTGGAAACGGCACCTCAAAGAGTTTGAAAAAGTTGCCCAAGATCACACAGCAAGTCAGAGACAAGCCTAACGGCAGGTCTTCCAGTTCCTTGTCCCCCATGGTTGCCTGTCCTCTGCCTTCTCTCACTCACCTCCCTTCTCTACAGCCTGTCCCTCTCCCTGTCTTCTTAGAACTCAAACCCCAGGCAAAGATATTCCAAGGGCTTCAGTGACCAGAGTAATGGCTGAT